GGTTTTGAGGTTTCAGGATCAAGGGATATACAAGACCCGAAGGGCCTCGTCCCGATCTTCTAGCCGACGCCAGCGCCTCACCAGTGGCTCGGGCCGGTAACGAGGGGCCAAGACGACCACGGCCTGCACACGTCGCGGGATGAAGTCGAAGTCATAGGGTTTAGGGTTTCTGAGCACCTCGGGGAGTTTCAGGACATGAGGGATCCTAACTTAGAACCCGACAGCTGCACAGTAAGATCCCGAGTATGAGGACCCCAACTAAGGGACCCGGCTACTTTCTGAAATTCCCACATGGGTAGTGTTCTAAATTAGGGTCCCTTTTTGGGTCCCCAATATAGTACGGCACCATTATAAAAGGGGACCCCAAAAGGGGCCCCTAATTTAGAAAACCACCCACATCGAAGCACCCGGCCTCCAAACGGGAGCCCACCTGAAGGTCGCCTCGCCTCTCTGGAGCCGGACTCCAGCTTCCCTGAAGGCGGCAGAGCTTAGGGTTGAGAGGCCCAATACCTTTAAATCCTAGGGCTTAGTTTAGGGTTTTGGGTTTAGGGTTTAGGGTTTAGCTTTGGTTCAGAAGGGGAAAGACGTTCTAGGAGTCTGTGCTTCAAAACCCCCATAACCTGCTTTTTTTAGTAGGCTCATACGAGTATCCACCCCTAAGTTAGCATGCATAGCCGACCCCACAAACCATGTATGTAGGTTTCGGTAGTTGAAGGTGCCCTTTGAGGGTTTTTGGGGTTTGGGGCTTGGCCACATCAAAGGTCCGCCTCGGCTTCCATGAGCAAGGCGGAGAAGCAGAGGCCCATGATTTCAGGCCACTGCTCCTGGGTTTAAGCTTTAGGTTTTAGGGTTCAGGGCCCATGATTTCAGGCCACTCCGCCTGAAAAGGAACTACCAATGTGGACAGTTCTCTAAGTTAGGGTCCCTTTTAGGGTCCCCTCTTATACGGGTGTCGTACTATATTGGGGACCTAAAAAGGGACCCTAATTTATTGAACTACCAATGTTGGAGACGAGCACAGCGTCACAGAGCCCACCTGGGAAGACGGTGACGACTGGCCCCCATCGACCTCTGGTCACACTGCTCGGTGATCGAGTTTGGTAAATGCCCGGCCGAAAACTTCCACGATGGACTACTCAATTCGCTTCATCATCCGGGAAAGGAAGTCGAAGTGAGCAGCCAGTAGTTTGGGACCCTGAAGCTACTGGGCACCTTCAAGGTGCAGAACGCCAACTTCCTCGAAGCCACCCGACGGCTCAACACCTCGCGGTCAGGTTGCGGCGTAGGGCGTATCTACTTTCCGCGTGGAAGTCTGCAAAGCCGTGACTCTAAGCGTGCTCAGCCGTTTTAGAGGTTTGGAAGACGTGCCGCAGGAGCTGAGGGCTCAACTGCTGACTAGACGGATTCAACATTGCGTCCTGGACCCTCCGTCGAAGCTCCTGAAGAGGCTGATGCACAAGCGCCTCGATCCCTATCAAGCCCTCAAAACCCTTTGCAACTGCTTAGTGAATCCTACCAAACCCCTTGTAAAGCCCCAACATAAAACCCTTACAATCCTCAAAGATGGCCATGGCACCGTGCCACTGAGCTGGCGGAGAGTACCGGGCTTCTCCAGCTCGGGCTCCTCGGCTAGGAGTGCGGCCCACCTGAAGCGACCATCAGAAGGGCTCAGGGGCTTCAGGGGTTTGGGAGGTTTAGGGCTTGAGGGCTTCGGGTTTCAGATTTCAGGGGCTTGGTGGGGTTCGGGCCCAAGGGTTTCAAGAGCGGATTTAAGGGCTTGGGTTGGGGGGGTTCGGGGTTGGGGGGGTTCAGGGTTTAGGGGCTTAAGGGTTGGATGGCTCATTGCTGAAGGGTTTATGTAAATATGTAAAAGGATTCGGGCTTCAAGGGTCACGGGTGCGGCGCTTCCGGATTTTTTCAGGTTTAGGGGCTGAAAGATCTATGATTTCAAGCCTGAAGGGTTTCATGGGGTTTTTAGTGGTTCGCTTGCGTTTCAACGGAGACAAGGTGTCTCGGCCCTTAGACAGCGCGGCGCACCCGTGCTTCCTTGATCAAGAGCGCGCAGGGATTTTGCTCCGTCAGGCCTGCGCCCCTTCCGTTCTACAATCATTGTAATAACAGGCTATAATATTTATGATAACAGACTATAATATTGATGATAATAGACTATAATATTCATGATAACAGACTATAAGATGTATAATCATATAGAAGCTGAGGAACTTCGGAGCACAGGGGTGGTCACTACACAGCGCAGCAGTGAGTGAAACCATTAACTTTTCTCACCCCAAGCCAGATTAGGGTTTAGGGTTTAGGGTTTAGGGTTTAGGATCTTTTTGGGTAGTTCTCTAAATTAGGGTCCCCTTTGGGGGGTCCTTTTTATAAGGGTGCCGTACTATAATGGGGACCTAAAAAGGGACCCTAATTTCGAGAACTACCCATATGAGGTAAGGGCGATGATTCACGCAAAGCCCTAGACGAAAGCGTAATTGAACGAGCTGTCAAACTTCAGCTGCATTTTCTTGTCGAAAGCATGGGTAAATATTCCTAGACATATGGTGTTACGAACACGACCCACATCAGAGCGAGTGAACCCACTACAGGCCAATTGAAATCATATCCAAAATAATACTTGAACATATTTGACACAGCTGGGTACTTTTCTAGATCAGGCTCGCTGTGAGATGGCAGGCCTCTTTTTACAAATGCGCCGAAAAAAGGGCTTCCCCAAACTTTCAAAACTCATCCCTTCTGAATCCTCCTAGCCTGATCCCCCAAAACTTCAGCCAAGCCGCGAGGTGGGGAGAAGACGCCTCTCTTCGGCGTCCGCTGCCGCCATAGATTGACGCAGTGTTGTTCACTTATGACTCATGACAGATACGCTCACTTCTACGATCACTGCCAGCGTCATAGCTTCCACTGTCAACAGTACTATCTCTTCTTATGGCATTCGTGCAGTCTTACAGGTATTGTTGCTGTGTTCTTGCAAGTCGTTATTGATACTCCCACTGCTAGAAACATGCACATTGCCCAAAGTGTTTACGAGAGCCATCGGTAGAGTCAGCTCCGTCGTCGTAGCAGCAGCAATCGCAGCAGTGCTGCATAGCAGAAGGAGGAGGTACCCTTGAGCCACATGATCAGCAAGTCCCGTGCAAGCACTGCATACAGACTGTCTCTTCACGTGTCCTGTGCGCGACGACCATGTCAAGAGGCTGACAATATGTTTGCCACAGGCTTGCATCCTTCTGATCCTCATGCAACATGTCCGAGCCCTGACACTGACCAGCGATGCGAACCCTAGCCTGTCCAAGACATCCACCCCGACCCCAGCAAAGTATTGAGGAGGCCACCGGAGCGTGTCTTGCTGAACTTCAGAACCAAATCCTTCAGACCTTCGTGACTCTGTGTTTGGCATGATGCAGGCATTGAAGTCGGACCATGGAATGATGATTGCAGCGGAGCAACTGATGATGCTGAAGACGATGAAGACGAAGATGAGGGTGACGGTTTGCTCGCATGTACGATGAGCAGCACGGTTGAGAAGAGTCAGGCATTTTCTTTTTCAGTCAGATGACAACTACAAAGCTAATATGTTAGTTTGGTTTACACTCTTGAAAAAGCCGTAACTCGCTCAACCAGCCGGTGGTGCTGGCGCATGGCCACATGACTGCGGTGACATGCAACGCAGCTTTCAGTTCAAGCCCGTGCTGTTCCTCTTCGCACTCTTCAGACGGAAACCTTAAGACGATGGTAACCATCTGCGAGCGCCTCCCTAAACCCTAAACCCTTCTGCTGCTCGAGCTAGTTCATGAGCGATTGATTGTAAGGTGCACGAGACGCATCTCAGGGCCAGACGCCGGATCTTCCAAAGCTTCTTCGCTTTGATAGTAGGCCTTCGCTTGAGCCACGGAGCCACGGAAGGGTCCGCGGCGCTCAGAAACTGCGCTGAAAGTCTCCCAGCCCGAGAAGGATCCAACTTCAGAGAGTCCCAGCATATCGTAGTACATTTTAGCGTATAGTAGGGCATGATCATGCCTTACAGTGTATGAATATAGTGTACTATAGTACAGCATAATGTGGTATATTGTACCATACTGTAGAAAATTTCCCCAGACAAGAGAGGGTGGGATTGACACTGCCCTCCGGCCTCTGCATTGGTGCTCAATCCCGGCGCATCCTTGCCAGGAGCATTTGGGAGTTGAGCGGACGAACATGGAAAGGAACTACTATTAGTATTACCATGACTGTTAATGTTGCTATTAGTATGGGTACTTTGATTATGACTGTTATTGTTGCTATTGCTATTAAACATATTGCTAGTCTTACTAGTGTTCTTTTTATTAATGAATAGCTGTACTTTTTCGAAAGGTAGTATTGAGATTTTCATTACAGACAGATTTGAGGGGAAGGATGTTTAAGACAGTTAAGCAAAGCTAAATTACCGCAAGGTAAGGTAGGTCAAGTTGAGATCTTCTTTCTGGGGATGGCTCGAAACACTGAATCGCAGGACGGCTCGATACTCAGAAATGCGATGCCGAGCCTAGGGCCTAGGATGAGAATCCCGAAAGCCACCACAACCACCCAAGCTACAGAGCGCCACAGCCTAGGCATAAAAGCATACGCCTACATACATCCAGAAGCAAGACCAGCAACGATCTCTCTAGAGCACTCCTGGGACAAGGCTCCCGTAGTGTAGGTTCGGTTCTTGTGGGCTTTAACACGACTGGGCAATCTTGCAACCATGTTACATTGATCCTCCTTTCTTGAGAAAGTGCAAGGAAAGACAACAATGTTGTGCTGGCTTCGGAACTAGGAGCCATTTTGACGCCGTTGATTCCCACTACATAGACTAAACTGAAACAGCTAAGATCATGCCATCATTCATATAATGCTTGAATATTGTTGGTATTAATATATTAGTGGTAATCTAATAGTAGTCTCATGCTACTAAAACCTAGGCAAGGAAATACCCTGAGCCAGACCGCGAGCCTGGAATAGGGCGAGGTTGGGCGTCAGAAAGTCGGGCGGCACGGTGGGCACATGACCATCACCGGCAAAGCCTGCGTCTGCTCGAAGTTTGTGGAGTATACCGGGCATCGCTTGAGAAATCAAGCCAATTGTGGCGCCTTCGCCCTACAATCGTTTACTCTCCCGGACAGCAAGTTAGAACCACCCGTGTCGCCACAATTTTGCCAGAGCGTCGTTTTGCTTTCTCGGGCTCAAATTTCGCCGAGCAGCAAGCTAGAACCTTAAACGTCGCCAAGGCAA